TTAATAAATATAGACATTCTGGCAGCATCAAGGAATGGTTTATATTTTATACAGTATCTTTCCTATTGCTTCTTTGCCCTTTAGAAGAATTTTTATTTTTATTCCATCTCCTACCTTTTTTATTCTGTTTTGTAGGGAAATTCCTTTTGTAGAATTGCTTTTGTAGAAGACAACTCACAGTGAAAAAGTGTACATCTGTTGCACAATAGGAGGAATTGGAGAATTGGCTTGAGATGACGGTGTGAATAAGAGTCTTATATATACCCCATTGTATTTTCATAATGTAAAAGTTCACTAAAGAGAGAGATTTCAATGGGAATTAGGCACTTTTGAAATTCCCACTACGTCTCTATTTGCATCTTTAGGTACCTAAATACCTTTGATAATCTGGCCCCTGTCCTCAGTTCTTCTATTGCTATATCTCTGAAATGGGATAATGCATATGGTTCTTTAGGAGCATCTAGGAGGAGCTGTGAAGACTGGATAACTTTTGTGTGTGTTTTTATTTTAAGAAGAAATGTACTGTGTAAGAGCTAGGTAACTATTTATTTCTCTGAAATCAGTAAAATTTTGAGGAAATCCATCTATTTTTCTTTCTAGCTGTTTTTTCTTTGCCACTTACAATATATTCATATTATCATGGTTTTATTTATAGTGTACACTATATGACTTTTGCTGATAAGATTCAAGGTGGCTTATTATTGTTTCTGTAGTAGGCAGATATGTTGTCATTAATACCTATGCTTTATAGTCTTATCTATTTTCACCTTTAAAACACTGAACCATAACTCCTGGGCTTTGTTTAGGCAGGCACAGTGGATTAAGATATGCCACTATCAGTAAACCTCAACTGCACTAAGAAAACAGGAATGGGTTTTACAATTTATAGTTCTGCAACTTGAAAAGAAAAGGCTACATCAAAGGGATCTCTGTAATCCACCCCAAAAAAAAAAAAGTGTGAGCATTTTGACTAGTAAAGTTATTTTCTAAATGGTAGTATTCTCTTATTTCCAGGAAACTTTTTTCATTTACCATGCAGGATATATCTGATCCTAAGTCCTATCTCATTTTTTAATTGTGTATATTCTACTTTATAAACACTAGGAATTTGGGGTTCTTATGTACTTGGTTTAATTTTGAAGTCTGCATTTTTCAGATAGTATAGTAATGTGTTCATGTTAACTAATGATGGCAGCAGGGACTGGAAATCCAAGCTCTTGGTTTCTGTTGCCTGCTTTTCCAATGATTTACTGTGTGACCTTGGGCAAGTCACTTAACATCTCTCTGCTCAGTTTGCTCCTAATAGAAGGATAATACTTCAAGTGCCTTCCTCAGAGGAGCATGATGAGATTTAACCGTTTGCAAAGCACTTACTCTTGGAAGGCACTATTTTAAAAAATAAAGATCCTTTACAAATGAAAAACATACTGTGAGAATAATATGTAAGTCACAGTGGTACAGCAGGGTGCTTCATGTTATATTTTGTTGCTAGTCTAACCTAGTTGGCTTATCCCTGTGGTATTTTAAAGTACATAATTCACCTGAAGCTATTATTTCCAGGCACTAAATATATTATTTGAGTTGCTAATAATATTACATATATAGCCTTAAGCTATAATTATAAATATCTAAAGAAATAAATGATACCATGGCATTTTATTATAGCCAATTCTGTGTTTTCTTTATCTCGTTGTTGGGAATAGTATCTTGCATGTATTGAAGGTTTGGTTTGTTCTTTTACGGGTCATTTATATGTAGCGTGTAGGCTTTTTTTTTTTCCTGTATGACCTAACTTCCAATGGGAGATAGGGTCCTGGAGCTTAGTTCTACAGGTATTTAGGGTGATATTGGATAGCAAATTAGACATGAGTTTTCATTCAGTGCAGCAGGAAAAAGCCAAAATAATTTGGGGCTATGCGCTCAGAGATGTTGCATTATATCATTGCCTCAAAAGGAAATGTAGCCCATTTTGGAGGCCATTGGAATAGGACTTGAGATGAGACAAAGCGTCTACTGAAAGCTCTTCCATTCACCTGTTGTTGTGACATTGAGAAAGTCACTTCAATTCTGTGCCTCTGTTTCTCTTCCAACCTTTTGTCTGTCTTGTCTCTTTAGATTGAAAGATGTTCCATTAGGGACTGTTTCCTACTGTGTGTTCATTGCCCATCACAATGGAACCCCACCCTCAATTAGGGTGCTGTTGTAACAAATAGAATACAGGTGTGGCATAATTGCTCCTAGCATGTCATGTTCAGTACTGGGTACCTCCTTACCAGAAATGTATTGAGAAATTGAAGTTCAGAAAAGAACAACAAATGGATTCACCTGTGGGAAAAATGTAAAAGTCATTAAATATGTACTGCTTAATTCAAAGATAGCTAAAGAGGGACATACATTTACAATTATTTGAAGGGTGTGAACATCAAGGAGAGGAATTATTTAGGACAGAACAGAGAATGAGAGGGCAGTTTATAGGCATACTTTCATGACAGCTGAGCATGGGTTTGGGAATTGGGAAGGGACTGAGTGTTCTAATCCTGACTTGGCCACTGACGTCCTGTGTGGGCGCCATTAAGTCACTTTGCCTCTATTTCCTCAATTTCGACATCTGTGGAAGGCCAGGAGTGTTGAAGTTTATACAGTGTTTCATAATGGTCTTCCAAGGGAAGTGGTGAAAGCCTCATAGGTTGAGACAAAATGCTAGTAAATATATAAGAACCAGGGATGGAGATGAACTAATAGTGTAGGTCCCTTCCACCTCTAATTTCTGGGATCTTCTGAATTTCATGACTGTATTCGCAATGGGCTGATGCATTAATCCACACCAGCTGATGAGCACTTGAATCGTGACCGAGGCCTTGAATAGGGGAAGGTACCCTTTTTGAAGTTAGACAAGACAGTGACCTTGCATTGCTTTGGTTTGAACCTGGGTACCCATTAAAGATTTCAGACTGCAGAGCAAGGCTGAATCAATAAAAGGGAGGAGGCACCTCAGGAAAAAGCCTTTGACAATAGGCATGGAGACAGAACATCCTTTTAGCCCTGGAAGAGGCCCTTCCTGGTCACAGCTGAAGTGATGTGAATCAGACACCTTTAACAGTCAATGGAAAAAATAATTTTTAAAAAGTCCCAAAACACATTAAGTTAATACCGAATTGTGACCTTGGGGATAGAGCGCTAGCCTGGGACTCAGAAGACCTGATTTCTATTCCCAGCTCTCCTATGAGTTTGCTGGTTGACCTTGGGCAAGTCATTTCACTTCTCTGTGCCTCATTTTCCCCATCTGTAAAATGGGGATAGAGATACTGACCTCCCTTGTGAAATGCTTTAAGATCTAATAATGAAAAACACTATATAAGAGCTAAGCATTATTTGTTTACTATTCTTATTCTTACTATTATTAATCTTGAAAATTGACTTTTCAGAACTCTGTTTATGCATAACTTTATATGAGTTTTCTCAGCCAATATTAAGAATGTAAATTCTGTTTTGCTGTTTCATTTACTGTAATATGGTGTGTGAAACCTTTCTCTCAAGTGAGTTTATTCATTATACTCTCTGTCTTTCCCTGTCCCTAATCCTAATGAAATATTTTTGAGTTGTTGGGATTGTAGGAAGTAGTACTTAACTGTACTTAATTATGATTATTGTCTAGATAGCCTTTGAATTAACTATCTTGTGGCTTATACAGTATTTTCTGTGGCTTTAAGGTTTTGTAGAGACTAATCAGCAGCTGCCAGAGTTGGATAGCTCCTTCATCGCTGCCTTTTTCCATCCGCCAGACTACGAAAGCCTTTTTCATAAGTTGATTTGTGCAAGGACAATCTGGATCTTGGCTTTGGTGATCAGACAAGAAAGTTTGGTCCTCTCAATATTTTTGTTGACATGAATAATAATTAGCCAGTGCATTCTTCCTAAAATGTAGTGTGGGGCACAACTGGCTGATCAGAGAAATTTAGCAATGGGGGAGGCTGTGAAAAAGCAAGCTGTCCACTTCCCTGCAAGTGTTACCAAACCACAAAGGAAGCTAAAGCTAGAAACCATCTTTTACTTTCAAGCCTCAGATTGGCTACACTGAATACTTAATGTACGTCCGTTTTTGGTAAGCAGTAAATTATAAAATTTCAGTTGTCTAGGCTTTGTGTCTTATTGCCCCAGGCTTCCAAGTAATAGGATTTTCCTAATCTACTTCCCCTTTGAGAGAACTTCAATATCACCGTTGGCCAACTTTCTCATACATAGCTGTCAAATAATGGTGTGTATGGGTTGCCTATGACAAATCAAGTAGGGTAGAAAATACAAGCCTAGAAATTGTCCTGCCACCAAAGAGTCAAGACGTTTGTTTCTTGGTGTTAGGACTAGACTATGTGGAGGCTTATGTCCAAATCTTGAGAGAAAGCAGGGGCATGGCATTAGTGAGATAAGATTAACAACTCCTTTCTTCACAGTGAGGATGAGCCAAGGCCAATTATATTGAGTTCATGACAGAAATACCTCAACAACTCTTCTAACCAGTTTGCAGAAAGCTATTGTTTTTAGGCCAAACTGTGCAACTCTTGTTTGCATGACTGTGCAAAAGTGGTGACCACTTGCATAAGTAGTCCAATGAAAGTGGAGTAAGTGTGGGTTACAAAATTGAGTGTATTATGTGTAGAAATGTTTTCAATTAAACTTCTGTCTTGTAAAAGTGTATTGAGGGCCTGGTTGTGCCCCCTTGAAATTAATAGCAATTTTCCCATTGAGTTCTGTGGAACAGGAGCAGGGCTGTCTGTATTGCAAACTAGCACAAAACTTTTATAAATTAAGACTTTAAAATGCTAATCATATAATACACTATCAAGTCTTATGTCAAAGATGTGGTTATGAAAGATGAGAACCACTGACCTCCTTTCATTTAGGGCTTTGGGACGTTGTTTAGGTAGATAACCAGTTCTGATTGGGACAGCATCACTTCTTAGTTTGTTTGTAAAGACTAAAACGAATTTTGTTTCATTTTATAGGATAAGAAGGCTTATTTGGACATCATTCATACCTACATGGAAGTCCATGGAACCGTCCACGGGACAAGTACTGTCCATATGCCCAGCTACGTGAAAAACCATGGCATCCTTAGTGGGCGAGATTTGCAGTTTCTGCTGAGAGAAACAAAAGTAAGTTTATTGCCAAGAGGGAAAAAACACTAAAACCACTAAAGAATTACTGTACTTGAAAAACTCAAATGCCATCTTGCCATTAGCTGACACCTGCATTAAGGGGCTTTAGAAACACAGAGCAAAATAAAAGGGAATTTAACCTGGCCTTTGGGTAGGTACAAGCACCTAAGAATGCCCTAACAACTGTGCATGTGCTTGACAAACTGGCAGCCACTTATAGAAAACTTAGCTCATGCCATCCGGCCTAGGAGAGACTTCTTAAAACCAGTTTCAAAATATCATTAAACTCATTTTTCCTTTTTTGTAACCGATAAGCAGAGCAAAGAGATTATCATCTGTGAGAATTTAGTTCATTTTTAAATCCACAATTTAAAAGCTAGGTGCTATCTGACAACTGCACTGCAGTACACTGCCCTACCAATGACTTTAACCTAGAGTCACATCCCTCTATAGTGATAAAAAGCATTTAATTCTCCATTCAGTTACTTCCGCAGCTCCACGTGAGCGCAGAGAGAGACTTTTAAAGCGTTTTTTTGCCTATGGTCCCATGGTCTGTATTTGAACTAAAGTTAAGATAAGAGCAGTGTACACATTTAAATAAACTTTCCCCCAGAAGTTAGAACACTTTTTTCCAATTTGCCATTCAATTCCCTTACCCTTGAACAGGTTTATGCAGGATATAATAAACAATATTTTAGGAGGATAATTTGAAGCATAGAAACTTATTAGTGGATAAGGCTCAAATAAAATGTATAATTTTCAGTCAGTGGGTTTGTGAAGAAAATGTTTTGTGATTTTAAATTTGCAAAATGGAATGTATAAGAACGGCTGTACTGGGTCAGACCAAAGGTCCATCTAGCCCAGTATCCTGTGTACCAACAGTGGCCAATGCCAGGGTCCCCACAGGGAGTGAACCTAACAGGTAATGATCAAGTGATCTCTCTCCTGCCATCCATCTCCACCCTCTGACAAACAGAGTCTAGGGACACCATTCCTTACCCATCCTGGCTAATAGCTATTAATGGACTTAACGTCCATGAATTTATCCAGTTCTCTTTTAAACGCTGTTATAGTCCTAGCCTTCACAACCTCCTCAGGTAAAGAGTTCCACAAGTTGATTGTGCGCTGTGTGAAGAAAAACTTCCTTTTATTTGTTTTAAACCTGCTGCCTATTCATTTCATTTGGTGACCCCTAGTTCTTGTATTATGGGAATAAGTAAATAACTTTTCCTTATCTAGTTTCTCCACATCACTCATGATTTTATATACCTCTATCATATCCCTACTTAGTCTCCTCTTTTCCAAGCTGAGAAGTTCTAGCCTCTAATCTCTCCTCATATGGGACCCGTTCCAAACCCCTAATCATTTTAGTTGCCCTTCTCTGAATCTTTTCTAGTGCCAGTATATCTTTTTTGAGATGAGGAGACCACATCTGTATGCAGTATTCAAGATGTGGGCGTACCATCGATTTATATAAGGGCAATAATATATTCTCTATCCCCTTTTTAATGATTCCTAACATCCTGTTTGCTTTTTTGACCACCTCTGCACACTGCGTGGACATCTTCAGAGAACTATCCACAATGACTCCAAGATCTTTTTCCTGATTCGTTGTACCTAAATTAGCCCCCATCATATTGTATGTATAGTTGGGGTTATTTTTTCCAATGTGCATTACTTTACATTTATCCACATTAAATTTCATTTGCCATTTTGTTGCCCAATCACTTAGTTTTGTGAGATCTTTTTGAAGTTCTTCACAGTCTGCTTTGGCCTTAACTATCTTGAGCAGTTTAGTATCATCTGCAAACTTTGCCACCTCACTTTTTACCCCTATGGAGCCTTTCCACTTTTTTCCCCATTGTTGATTTGTTGCTGTGCACTGTTACAACAGAAGCCATTAAAAAGTAAGCTCCTTTCAGTCATGCTATGCAGTTTATCACAGAGATCTCCTATTCAAAGTATAGGGGAAAACAGCGGTAGCCTTGCATTTCTGTGCAGTGGCTATGGGAAAACTGACTTTTTTTTTTAAAGACAACCACTACGTATGTGTACTTTCTGCATACACACACAATGTTACCATTTAAAAAGTCAGCATGTACTTATATTTGCCACACAGATGTACCTGAGATCACCACAGCTTTCCCCTGCATTTAGAATTCGAAATTATTGGGTTAATCATGGATTCCACTGTGGGTAAATATTGACATTTTAATAATAACCTGAGCATAAATCTCTCCAGTTAAATTTGTTCTCTTTACTGGTTAAAACAGAAATCACGTTCAGCTGCTTATTTAACTTCCAGGATGCTTATCACTATTTGCGTAACACATGATACTGTTTATAACTTCTTATAACTAAGTTTTTACCTCTAATCATTCTTCAGTAACATGAGTCTTCCTAGGGCTCCTTTTTACTTGTATTACACTAAAAATCCTAGTTTTCATTATTAAGCAATTTTACATAGCTATTATTGAATCATCCAATAATGATAGCCTAGTACTGTCAAAATAAAAGGTGGGAGTTGGGTTTTGTTTTTATATGATTTGACTTCTGATATTTTGATCCAAATTACATTGATCAGATTGATTAGTGACTGAATTAAATGGAAGGCACTATCGTTTGTAAAGTGCTCATGAGATCTGTCTGGATAAAAGAAGTAATATAAAATGTCACTATCATTGTGCCAAAGTATTGAAGTCTTTAAAAATGTTGGATCCCTGCATTGCAGCTTGCAAAAATCTACAAGGGTTTGTGAGAGTTTGAAAGGGTTTCCACATTATTGCTATGCTTTGATTCTTCCCTGACACTGTAGTTTTGAGAGTTTGCTATATTTCTCAAATGATGGTGTTTAGCAGCTGTAGGTTCTTGAGACCGCTATTGAAATGCTAGCCTGTTACATCTGCTTTTAAATAATCTCTTCAAATATAATCTTTGCTTCTTTAAATTAGATCTTTAAATTCATATTAGTGACATTTTTCAAATATTTTCCATAATGTTTATTTGATAATTAATTATCAAAGCTCTCTTAAACAAAGGATTTGCTTGCTTGTACATAGCCAGGCTAACACAAAAAAAATAAAAAATAAATAAAAAAGATGACAGGTAGCTAAGACATCAGATCTTGTTCCAATGTTTAGGGTTTTGTCTCATTCTCAAGTCAATCAAAATGAAATTTCTTGCTGATGTCATGACCAAATGAGATCACTTGTTGATTCTTTTATGGGCTATTATGACGTGGGTTGTCATTTCTCTTATTTTTTTAGTATGTCTAACATTTAGTCACTCTGATATAGTTAGCTTTACACTTGCTTTAATAAAAAAAAATTTCTGAAATTGAGAGCGGGAATGAGATTTATAAAGTAGTAGATTTGAATAAAAAAAATCTATGATTATCATCAGTAATACAGTGACTGGTCATCTGACTTGAAATCTGTATGTGATCTGATCACAATACTAAATTAGTCCTCCACTAGTATTTGCTGTTAGTGTTCACTGTGACTGTGTATTTGAATATTTTGTTCATGGCTTTCCTGCAGGGCAGGAAAAAATAGCTTGACATGATTATAAAACACCTTCACTTTGACTATTCACTTGTATCTGCATCAGCTGGTTTGTTGCATCTTGGTGGGTTGGCTTGTTTGTATCAAGTTAATCATGGAAACCGCACATTCTAACATTGCATTGCTAAAGGACAGTGAGAACAGTATTTCCCCCAAAAGCAATATATCCTGAAAGACATGATCTGGTAGTTTAACAAATCTTATAACATGCATGTGCACATTCCCTCGTTGTGTCTCGAATCCTATTTAAGTGTAGGCACAGGAAGAAGCCACTCCTCCTCCTCTCTCCTTGTGCAATACCTGCATAAAATGGTCTAGCAAATTGTTAATGGTTCAGTTATGTTTCTCCGTTCACTAGATCATAGTGTATAGTCAGGACACCAAAAGCACTTGATTGATGACTGCTATAGTCAATGGTGAAGCTGGCATCTATATGTTCAATTGCAGCTTCAAGCATAAACCTGCTATTTTTTCAGCTTTGCCTCTAAAATAATAATAATAAACCTTCAGAGACACTTTCACCTTCAAAAGTTCCATTTTTAAGCATAAGTTTTCAGACATAAAGGGCCAACCACATTCTTTCATTGCTGTGAACTCCAGTATTGTACTTCCCAGTTAGTGCAAAGCCTCAAACAAGGATTCTGTCCTTGAAAAGTCAGAGATCAGTACAAATTATAATTAAGTCACAAAATACAGATGCCCACAAATCTGTCAGTATGGAGCACCCTCAAAAAATTTTCCATCTCAGACTAGATCCAATTTCTGCAACATGTTCCAAGAACCATAGAATCATCAAATATTAGGGCTGGTAGAGACCTCAGGAGGTCATCTAGTCCAACCCCCTGCTCAAAGCAGGACCAGCACCAACTAAATCATCCCAGCCAAGGCTCTGTCAAGCCGGGCCTTAAAAACCTCTAAGGATGGAGATTCCACCACCTCCCTAGGTAACCCATTCCAGTGCTTCACCAAGCTCCTAGTGAAATAGTTTTTCCTAATATCCAATCTAGACCTCCTTCACTGCAACTTGAGACCATTGCTCCTTGTTCTATCATCTGCCACCACTGAGAACAGCTGAGCTCTATCCTCTTTGGAACCCTCCTTTAGGTAGTTGAAGGCTGCTATCAAATCCCCACTCACTCTTCTTTTCTGCAGACTAAATAACCGCACTTCCCTCAGCCTCTCCTCGTAAGTCATGTGGCCCAGACTCCGATCATTTTCGTTGCCCTCCACTGGACTCTCCAATTTGTCTTCTCCTTTTTGTTGTGGGGGGCCCAAAACTGGATGCAATACTCCAAGTGTGGCCTCACCAGTGCTGAATAGAGGGGAATAATCACTTCCCTCGATCTGCTGGCAATGCTCCTAGTAATACAGCCCAATATGCCGTTGGCCTTCTTGGCAATGAGGGCACACTGCTGACTCATATCCAGCTTCTCATCCACTGTAATCCCCAGGTCCTTTTCTGCAGAACTGCTGCTTAGCCAGTCGATCCCCAGCCCGTAGCGGTGCATGGGATTCTTACGTCCTAAGTGCAGGACTCTGCACGTGTCCTTGTTAAACCTTATCAGATTTCTTTTGGCCCAATCCTCCAATTTGTCTAGGTCACTCTGGACCCTATCCCTACCCTCCAGTGTATCTACGTCTCCCCCCAATTTAGTGTCATCTGCGAACTTGCTGAAGGTGCAATTCATCCCATCATCCAGATCATTAGTAAAGATGTTGAACAAAACCGACCCCAGGGGCACTCCACTTGATACCAGCTGCCAATTAGACATCAAGCCATTGATCACTACCCGTTGAGCCTGACAATCTAGCCAACTTTCTATCCACCTTATAATCCATTCATCCAGTCCATACTTCTTTAACTTGCTGGCCACTAAATTGTGATTTTCGATCACTGCTTTGCAAGCCCCAAATATATGGTTGAAACATCTGAAATAGTTCTTAGTTAGCAACTAAGCTTGAAGCTGCCACTGTATTGTGCAGCTTATAGATCAGAATTTGAAAATGCTTTTCAAAAGAGGCATTTTTCAAAGAGGGAGAACTTATAAAATGGCTAGCTTAAGTGTGTGGTTGATGTAGTGCATAACAACAGCTAGACCTCACATTTTCTGACTGAACAGTTTCCCGTTGGAAAATGCTGATTGGACGGAATGAAAATGTTCCGCTGGGAACAGGGGGATTCTGTCGAAGCTTTCCTGCCTAACCCAGGCTCCTAGACTCCCCGGGCTGCCAGGAAGGCAGTTGGGGAGTTCAGATTGGAATTTTCAATTTTTGTTCTTCCAAACAGAATTCTTTGAAAATGTCCATCATGCATCTCTCACGTCCAATCTCTTCCCCAATGTGGAAAATTTCATGACTCCAACTTTTCATCTGATTCCGAACTAATTTTTTTTTAGAAATGAGAAATTTCCTGCAGAATAGAAATTGCAGTTTCCAGACAGCTGTAATAACGTAAGGAGTGTCTTGTTAACATTTGGCTGCAGAGTGTAACAATCTCTAAAACAGAAATCCTGTTCAGCTGTTGTGTAGGAATGTTAAGCAAGCAGACTTATTAACTTTCTCATGCTGTGGTTTACACAGCAGTATAGTTAAAAGAAGCTTATTGGGAACACGGTGCTATATTTTTGGTTCCATGAATTTCACAGTGGAGGGAACCTATTCTAAAGGTGTTTCTCTCATTTACAAGAGGACTGTGCTTATCCAGTGAGCTTTTCATGTGTGTGAGAAAAATGTATCTGAGTAACACTCCATTGTTGTGTGCCTCTCAGCTCTGGGCCATCTCTCTTTCTGCAGTTCAGAATAGAATGTATTCTAAAATAGTTCAGTATTGATGCACACACAAATGGTGATAAACCTATCAGTGCCAGAGAATAGATTAAACTTTCTAGGTAAGCAAAGGATATTAATGAGAGAGAAAGACACAAAGCTTTGGAACTGTAACATTTGGGTTGTGATCTGGTAAATACCAAATACATTTTTAAATATTCATCTTCGTCTAGCTCAATAAATACAAAACATTAACTGTATTAACAAAGTAAAAATCTATTTTTGATTTCATTTTTGCCGTTATTTGCAAAGTCTGCATGCCTGAGTTTTTCTAAATTATTATGGTATTTACAGTAATGCGCTAATACAATGGTCACCAACCAGTCAATCCTAGAGGATCTCCCAGTCGATTGCGATCTCCGGCGGTGCAGTGTGGCTTCCGCTAAGGCAGACTTCCTGTCTACCCAGGCCCCATGCTGCTCCCGGAAGCGGCCAGCATGGTACCAGGGGTGTGGGGACAGGGGTCTCCCTCTGCATGCTGCTTCTGCCTGCAAGCACCATTGGTTGGGAGAACTGCAGGGGCAGTGCCTGCAGAGAGGGGCAGCCCACAGAGCCACATGCTCCCTGCCCTCCCCAGAGCATCTAGTACCCATCATAGAGAGGAGCAACCGGCATCACCTGTTTCCTCTAGTAGATTTGATCCTCCAGAGAAATTCTTTGAGCAATCTTAGAACCACTGAAGAAATCTCCACCCTATGGCCAACATCTCCTGTTCATCTCCTGATCCCTGGTGGTTGATTTTAAATCCTTCTAGGACTTGGTCAAAAGGGACAGAGACTCCTTGCGGATTCCCCTCAAGGAGGTTACAGAGTCTCATCATAAGCTGCTTGACATCCTTCACTCACCCTTATTGGTCCACATAGCTTTACCTGTCAATGGGGCTCTTCTAGATCCAGCAAAGATCATCTGGCACACCCCAGATTCTATTCTGCCTATGGGGAAAAGAGTGGACAAGAAGTATTATGTTCCAGCAAAGGATTTGTAGTTTTTATTTTCCCATCCCTCACCTGACTCCTTGGTAGTGGATGCGGTGAATGAAAGTGGTAGGCAGCACCACGCTAAATCCAGGACTCAGGACAAAGACCACAAATGCCTGGACCTACTAGTGAGAAAGTCTTACTCCTCAGCCTCCCTACAGTTTAGAATTGCCAATTATCGGGCTTTGGCAAAATACTATCATGTCAATTATAACAAGTTAACCTCGTTCATCAACCGTCTGCCGGCGGAACACAGAGAGCAGTTCCAGGCAATTGTTGAGGAGGGCCAACTATTTGCCAGGACAACCCTGCAAGCCTCCATCGATGCCGCTGATACTACCACCAGTTGGATCGCTACAGCGGTGGTGATGAGAAGAGCCTCTTGGCTCTGGCTCTGCAGTTTCCCAAAGGAAGTTCAGAGTACAGTTGAGGGCCTTCCTTTTGATGGACCTAAGTTGTTTGTAGATAGTATGGGCGAGTCTCCGTGAACACTGAAGGATTCTAGAGCGACTGCGTGTTCTCTTGGTATCTATGCTCCTACATACAAGAGAAAATTCTGCAAGTCTCAGACAGCCCAGAGATCCCGCCCCATCCAATTCCTTCCCTCTGAGAGGACATAGCCACATCAGAAAAAGCAAAGGTTTCACAGAAGGAAATATCTGTTTCTGAGCCTCCCATCTTTCACCTGTCCATCTCCACAGAGGCCATGACAAGAGGCAATGGGTTCAAGCTACAGCATAGCAGATTTAGATTAAATCTCAGGAAAAACTTCCTAACTGTAAAAACAGCAGGAAAATGGAAGACACTGCTTCAGGAGGTTGTGGAAGCTTCTTCACTGGAGGTTTTCAAAAGGAGGCTGGATAGCCATCTGCCTTGGATGGTTTATACGTAACAAATCCTGCATCTTGGCAGGGGGGTTAGACTAGATGACCCTTGCAGTCCTTTATAACCCTGTGATTCTATGATTGCACAGAGATTCAGTGTTCTCAAAGTTGGGGAGGGACGTTAACGTTTCAAGCTGTTCTATGGATTTCTTTTTTAGAGCCAGTCAGCTCATAATGTTAAACTGCTAATGCCAGAGGCTAGAACAGATTAAAGACCTAATGCGGCAATGCCTATCTACAACAGGGCTGATATTACAAATTTATGCTTCAAATTACATTAAACTGTTTTTATATGTAGCCTGAAATAGGCTTCTGACTATAGTCACTTAGAATTTTTTTAATTCAAGAGTTCATTTTCCCTTGAAGTAAAAATTTTAATGGGGAGTATCTGAGTTTGCTAAAGAGAGATGTCATGTCTTGAATGCATAATTCTAATAGCCATGAGCCTTAGATCTAGTAGGCAGTAGTTGAAACGAGCGTATGCGTGGATTTATTCAATGGTGGTGTTTAGAGATTTGTGGCAGCTGTAGCTATCATAGCTCAGAGCTTTTAAACCAACATTGTATGCTAATTTTAAATTAAAGAAAATAAAAAGAGACATTATTTAATTCAGTTTTCTCAAGTGTCAGGGCCGGGAAAGAGAGTGCTTCTAAATAGCTGTTGCACAAGGATGTGACTTCTTTGTGACAAAATGTTAAATGTTTTTCAGTTGGATTTTCTGTTGCCCAATAACTGTCTTTATTATAACATGTACTGTATGCTGATGCCTTTCCCCCTTCAGTTTAGAATGGAGGAATTGAATTGTTGGCTTGTCACTGCAGTGCTGTTGCTGAGTAGTGTGTCTTTAACTGAAGTTTGCTGCCATCTACTGTTTATCAGAAGGCTTGTTCAATTTGGCCTGAGTATGTTTATATTGGCAAAACTACTAAGTTAGTCAGGGGAAAAAATAAAGTGGCATAGCTAGTCAGTGATGTAACTGTTGTAAAACCTGTACCTACTGGTCTACCAGAGAGCTCTAGCAGTTTTGTTTGAACTGTAATCAAACCACCAAATGTCTTTTTTCCCAAAACATAACTGAAAGGGACTGTTGTTCCATCTGTTTCATGAAAAACCTTCTGTTTAATTTAGAGTGGATTGCCATAGTTTTCTCTCCAGCCCCTTACAGGGAGATTATTGTTAGACGTGTTTTCCAGGACATTCCATTACTCTCTTAGTTTTGCAGAGAGGGAGGGAGAACAGCCAAATCCTTAGCAACATTTAGCATGAAACTTTATTTAAAAGTTCTGTCAGGAATGTTACCCAATTCCTTTCAAACTGTTATGGGGACATATTTTGAAGGCTTGTACATTCAAAATCTTTCTCATTGTTTATTTTAGCTTAACACGGAGTTTTTAGTGCCTTCTAAAGGGAAACAAAATTAATGGATGCTAGGTGATGTATCTTTTCTATTTTGCAGTTGTTTGTTGGACTTGGATTTCCATATGAAGGGCCTGCTCCCCTAGAGGCTATTGCTAATGGATGTGCTTTTCTAAATCTAAAATTTAACCCACCGAAAAGCAGCAAAAATACAGACTTTTTCAAAGGCAAGCCAACACTCCGAGAGGTAAGCTTTACTAGCACTGATGTTTCTAACATTGCAAAGTATTGGGGCTGTGATACGTCTAAGTCGCTGATACTGTTTGTACTGTAATGGTTTTCTTTTTGAGGATTGTACAACAACAAAAATTTTATTGCAAATAACTGCTTTCTTTGTAATATTACAATAAAAAACAGAATGTCAAACTAAGGTGCATAATTTACTGCAGACAGAGCAGTTTGTCCTTTTGCCTTAACATAGCAGTGGCCAGAATTGTGGTATGATTAGTCCTATGTAAGACCACAATTATGTTATAACTAGGCACTATGATAATAAAATAATGAAACCCATCAAGTACTTCTAAGCTATAACTCTGTGTCCATGTATATCTACATTCTTCTAATTATTTTTGACAGACCATATATACAAGTTTCACTTCAAGATCTGATTTTCTATCCAGGGGAAACCTCAGTTGAGATCCCTGTGACTTCTTCTCTTAAGGAAATGAGCATCACTGGGCAATAAGTGCATCCTTGTTCAAATAAATATGAATGTTGTACTTACTATTCTGTTTAGCCCTAGTAGTAACACTAGCAATGAACTGTGTGTATTTGACTGTAAAGACACTTGGAGAGCCAAACCAATTTTTGAGGAGTGAACAGGAAAAGCAAACTACAAGTCTCCAAAGCATCCAGAATATTTTGTTACCCTGAAGGGAAAAGGAGAAGACCAAACAAACTGACCTTCCATGCAAGGATTTACTGAATATTATTGTTCATCGTGTTATAATTGCAGCATATCTGTGTATGGGTAAAGTTAGGCCTATAACATACTGAAAACATATAGCATTTATCTAGTCATTTTTTTCTTGGCCTGACATTGGTTAACACACACTATTGCTTGCAACTTTGAATTGTCTTTAAATAAGTATTGTGTATGTTAAACAAATGTAGAATTATCTTGCTGATCTAAAAGGGAATATGTAGATAGGGAACAGCTTGCATGATAGCATTGGTCTGCTCGCAGATGGTGGTTCAGCTAGATGAACTGCACATTGAACTCATGCCAATTGGTTGATGAGTGATGCATTTCTACCATTTCTCATTTTAATTAATATTTAATATTTAGTAACATAGGTTGCCTGTGCCAAAGGGTTTGTGAGCAAGGTTTTGTGCACTGTTCTCAATCTTTTCTACAAATACAATCGATATAGTAGTCCAAATTCACCCCTTTCCTACAGCTTGACTTTATTAACAAAGAAAACAATAATAAAATAGAGAACATGACAATTAAAAAATAGAAGAGATTAAAAAACTCTTCTTCCCAGGTTTGGCTTCTTGTAGGGTTTTTCTGCTCAGGACTGCTTGGTCCTTTTGGATCATCTCTCTCCAGAAAGCCACTTCTAGGTCTCTTATGTCCAAGAGCAATAACCAGTCACCTTCCCAGTAAATCACCATAACCCACTTAACCCTTTACTGGCAGAATCAACACTACTTGAAATGCCATGCCCTGTTAGCCAAACACTGCCAGCCTGCTACAGCATTAATAAAAAGAATTGCATTGGACTCTATATAATGTTCAGATTACTAGTGATTTTAATTTTTGTAAACCTTAGTGTAGAACACAAGTGTAGCTAATAACTATGAATGCTGATTCTACTTTTTACTCCATTTACCTACTCTTGAGACAGTAGTGCCTGATCGAGTGATCAAAAAAAAGGAATGGGAGACAGGTACATATGAATTCTAATCCCCTTTGTGAGACTTTGGATTTAGGGAAGGTGGTGGTAACTGTATATCTCAGTTTTTTCACCTCTACAGTGGAAAAAAAAAAGCCCACAGGAGTGCTGAGAATTAATTAGTGTTCATAAAACACTTTAAAGATGATAATCCTTAATATTTACTTGGCAGAAATATCACTACAGTTACTGTGTTTTTTCTCTCAGTTTAGGTAGAGCTGGTCAAAAAAAAAAATTGTAAGGAAATTTTTCCTATCAAAAAATAGTTTTGTCTGAACTGAATTTTTTGTTGTTGTTGTTTTTTGTAGGAAAATTTGAGAGGAAAATATTTGTGTTGAATGGACATTTTGTTTTGGTGTAAAATTTTTGCTACTTTTTTTGTTTCAAAAACCTGAAAAGACATTTTGAAAAGAAACATCAACACAAAACAAAAGTTTTCATTTCAACTTAGTGCCGTTTCTTTTTTGTTTTCTGAAACCCAGAAAGTGACACAAAACAACTTTATATGTTTAAATTAAATGAACATGTTGATTCAAAATTTCCCATGGGAAAACAAACTTTTCTACCCAAAAAAATTCAAATGGAAGCTTTTTGTTCAAAATCTCTTACAGGGGGAAAATGTTAGGTTTCTGACCGCCTCTATTTCTATGCAGCAGAAAGGCCCCAAGAATGACTACGACCTTCACCTCTGGCCAGTCACATTATTTCAGCATCAAGACAGTATTCTTAAAATTTCTACCGAACACATCCTCACAAGAGCTGGCACACAGTGGAACATTGCTGGTTGATTCGCTGTTGATATCAAGGCTTCAAAATCAGGCCTGGCTTAATGTGCTGCCTGCCAGTCTGAAGTGTATAACGAACCCATGATCTCCAGTATAACTCCTGAAGCTGTGTGAAGTTTAATCATTATATTTACATACTTGGGGGGGGGAATCACATTTTGAAACGTAATGCAAATAATGTTAGCACTTAAGCAATATTATTATGTTCATTGCCATACAATTTATTAATAAAGGCATATTCTCTGCCCCCAGTAGCTTATACAATCTAAAATTCAGATGTGAATGCCCTGGAAATTCAGGAAATTTTGATAACCTGAGTTTTTAAATATATATCACTTAAACAGTAGTGGTAACAGTATGATACTGAGGTTAGCTGTATATGCGGATTTCGTGGAGGGATTGGGTTTTCAGGAGGAACTGAAAAGATGATGATGGGGTGGAACATGGTGCACTAGGATACGGCTTATATAGACAGATCATGTAATCTGTGGGTCTTCCTCAAAAATCTTCTTAATCTTACTAAGGCACCAGTCCTCTAGTGAGCTCTATGTGCATCCCAACTGAGTTCACTGGGTCTCTGTAGAAGCAAGGCATCAGCCTCCGTGAAGCTCATAGACCAAATCTGGCCTATGTTATTTCAATCCAATTGTGGCTTATTTCCACTTTGACGTAACCTTTAAATTTTACCTTTATTTTTATGTGAATGTTCACTTTTACAATATCATAAAATGTTAATATAGGTCTCCAAAAAATGCTGGCTTCCTGTGCTCAGAAATATAGAACAGGAGGTAAATATTTTGTGAAAATTGTTTGCTTGCACTGCCTTGCTGCTTTGCATTTGCTTCAGCAAGGAGTTCAAGTACAATAGTTACTTTATCTAAGAAGAATGACTTTTAAGTATATGTAAAAAAAATGTTTTGCTCAGTGAAAGTACTTGAACACAAAAGGGGAGAAAATCTCGTAATACATATAAAGAGGCAGTTGTTTAAATACTTTGCTTGCAGTTTTCTTATGTTGGGGTATTATGTTATTTAAAAGGCATTCCTTTTCAGGCCAGTGTGAGGACACACTTCTCTCTTGTACATTTTTAACCTGTTCTTCCTTTCAGTATGCATTCTTGCACATCTCTTAACTTCTGTGATACCATGATGTCATTGCAATCTTTTTCCGTGCCAAACTGTCAGTTCTGGCCATGGTCTAATTGATGCCAAGTGACTTATTGTTCTGGTTTGACTTGGCTGATATTTTTTTAATTTATTTTGTTTTCTAGCAAGCAGTGAGCAAGATGTCAATTAGGTTCTAAAATGCACATTGGAGGTGACATTCAGTCTCATTTTCAGGAGAGTCAGGGTTCGTTCTGGGTGATCAAAGTCTTAATTGTGCCATCTGTGTATGAGCTTAGAATTTTTGAACATGGAGGATTGGATGACATGGGGAACAATTAATAGTATGTAGAGCCTTTCACCTCTAGGTCATGGGTTCAGACCGCCCAAGGCTAGTAGATGTGATGAACTGGGGAAAATGTCTTCATTTTTATATGAATATTATGTGTAACTATGTTTCCCTGTTCAATTTTGTATTTCTGCCTGCCTGAATGCATGGGGTTAAATCAAATGAGGCTGTAAACAGGTTATCAAAAACCAAGCAGGAAAGGTAAAACAACGACACAGATAAAACAGCATCAGGTACACAGTTTCAAAGGAATGAAGATAATGACTGGACCACCAATTGGGAGAGAAAATACCTAGCTGGGTCAGTCCAAGCGAAGATATTTTACCCTTTCCCAGGACAATGGTTATATGTGAGGGTTATAAAATGAGTTTGATAGTCCAGTTCCCCAAGGATGTATATCTGCATGGCAATAGTATCATCAATATTGTAATAAGCACTAATTGGTAACCTTGCTAGCAGTCTGAGAATAGAAAATCAGAATCAAATGTGCACAGTAATAATCGTGCATTTCTCACATTTGTGAGAGAAAAAGAGGGAGAAGAGAGGGTTTGGATGGAAAGATACTGACATTTCATCTTGAAGGGATGGAAAGATTTTCAAGAGATGCCTGAGATGGGGAGAGATGCAGGAATGGATAAAGGATAGAGGCTCTGGATAGAAAAGGAGATTTGGGAGTAGTTCATCCGGATGTATTAGCTGATCTCAAAGAAGTAAATGAAATCACCCAGAGAGCAAGAGATAATATAGAGATAAAATGGGAGAGGTTGGTACATAAAGCGAGATAGGGAAGTTCCACTGCTTGTTACCTATGCTGTACCTGTTGTGTGGATAAATTAGAGGTCATTGGTCCCCATACTTATCAATCCAGTGTATTTTATATGCACCAAGTTCACCCACAAGATTTAATGGGGAAAATATAGAAAACCTAAAACAGAGGTAAAAGAGAAATTAAGTTATCTTTATATTCCAGCTCTGTTATTGCATTATCTATATGTATTATATCCTGAGACCCAAACCAAGTGAAGGGGGCCAGGAAAGAGATCTTGACCCTTGCTTTTTACCAGTATATTGATTTTCTTTTTCAGTTGACATCTCAGCATCCTTATGCTGAGGTTTACATTGGGAAGCCTCATGTCTGGACTGTGAACTTCAATGATCCTTCTGAGGTGGAGAACGCAGTGAAAGCAATTTTGAATCAAAAGGTTAATATTTATTCTGTTTGTAATCAGTACTTGGTGTCTGAGCTACTGCTGTGCAGAGTGCCTCAAAATGTTAATTTCATTAATAGAATTGAGTGCTGCAGTCTGGAAGGTTCTGTCCTTTTGAGGTCTGATGCCACACCCATCACTGTGTGATGTATATGTGGTATCTGAGCATCAGGGTTTAGTACTAGATCCTACACATGTATTTAACTTTGCTCACATGAATAAAACTAAGCATGCGTATAAGCATAAAGGATTGGAGCTTTAGCATGTGAGTCACAGAGTCCAAGTTACTAGATTTGTTATTGAGTCTTTGTAAGTTTTTTGTGCGTTTAGTAAATCAGTTGCCCTATGCTTAGCTCAGTTGAACCCATTAATTAGCTATAACAGGGAAGCTATGATGATATTTCTGCATTTACATTATGAGCTTTTAATGTAAGGAATACAAAAATCAAAAGACATCTGAAAACATTTTCAAAGAGCATCTAATTATAGAATCATATTTTCCTTCGTACTATTTCAATTTGGAAATTAAACAGAATTACAACAGGCAGCTATGAGATCCAGTAGAGTCTCTGCCACTGCTCAATAAACTCTTAATTTCCCTCATTTAACATCTCCTCAAAGACAAACACTGATTAATTTTAGAATTGCCTTTGAGGAAGCAAAAATCAGTTTAATCTGTGGGCTGTGTAAAATGGTGATTTGTTAATGAGTACGTTTACTACAAAAGCTATAATGTATTAAACAGTACACAGGCTGCTAACATCACACACATCACAGGGACGCTTGCAGTAAAATGATTCCTTAAAAATTCTACTCTAAACACACTGTACTGTTTCAACAGATTGAACCTTATTTGCCCTATGAATTTACATGTGAGGGGATGCTACAAAGGATGAATGCATTCATTGAAAAGCAGGTATGACCTTTCAATGTTGATGAAATAAACCTCTCTTAAGTGCAGTCTTTCTATTTTAAAGGGTGCCTTAATATTAAAACTGTTCATTCTTGGAATTACTTTTTTTAAAAGTTTGGATGGACCCTCATGGGTGCAAAGGTCCAACTCTGCAAATCAGGTCTCAGGGCTTGTGGCTTAGCTCAGGTCTTCTGGCAGCCATTCTACTGCTATGATGGTGTGGTGAACGACAAAAAGAAACCACATCGATGTGGTCTAGCAGTTAGCGAAGGGTACTGGGTGTCAGGACTAGATTTGGGCAAAATTTTTCAGACAAATAGTTTATTCGGCAAAAAAACGCAGTTTCAGTCAAACCAAAACTATTTGTGACTTTGCCATGAATATTTTCAGTCATTCGTAAGATGGCTAGAGGAGGAAAGAGAGGGGAAGTGCTGCTGGTGCTTCCCCTTATAAACTTTAGTCCAATGGTTAGGGCATTCACCTAGGATGTGGGAGACTCAAGTTCAGGTCTTCACTTTGGAACAGACATGATAGAAACTTTTTCAATTCACCAAAAACTCTGAAAATTTTCAGATTTGGTTCAACCCAAACCTAATTCTGCCCCCTAACCCCTCTGGAACTGCCACCAAACTGAAGAATCAGTGTTCATCCAGCTCTAGTCAGGGATACTGGGTTCTGTTCCCGGTTTGGCACTGACCTTGGGTAACTCACTCAAGTTTGTGACTCAATATACCCCTCTTCCAAATGGATAAAATAGTACTTATCTGTGTTGCAAGGGTGTTGCAATGTTTGTAAAGAACTCTGAGATCCTAAGAGGAAAGATCACATAGAGGTGAGAAGTATTGATACTACTGCTATCACAAGCAAAGCAATCTTTCATGTAAAAGTAGCTTCTTTTAAGAGCCCATTTGGTTTTATTTCTATATTTTAAAAGTCTTTGCATCATGGAATACTACATAAATATTCTGATACTGTTTGTGGAGACAGGGAATGGGTACCATTCCTCCTCAAAGGCTTGGCACAGTTGTAATTACATTTAGTCTTAACTTCTGGGTGAATTCAGTGTGTTGGTTTTAACTATAAATCCTTAAATAGTTTGAGACCTGAGAGAGATGCCTCACTCCCCATGAAATACTGTCACGGTTGAGATTAGCAGAAGGACTTGAGCTGGAGCTCCCTCAATATAAACAAGAGGGAGCTGCTGGCAGGGCTGTGTGAGGGGACTTTAATTTTGGAACTTGCTCATCCCCTTGGTTCACCAGTGCCCAGATTTAACCTTCCAGGCATACTACAAAGCCCAGCAAACAACCCCCCCCCCACCCCTTCCCATTTCTTCGGGTTGTTAAGGTGGGTGTGGGCTGAGAGAGAGGTTTACAGACAGTGCTTTCGTTTGTTCTGTTTTTTATTTTGCGGCATAGCTCCCCAATGCACTGTAATTGTATTTTTAAAACTGGAAGTGCAAAAGAATAAATTAACTAGTACATAGCTATTTCCGATTTACTGCCAATAAACACTTCATTGTCTTTGTTGCTGTGTTGATTAAAATGTCTATGCTGCGTTTGATTCTCCTGGATGAGTTAACTGTGATTGACAGTAGTTTTCATTAATACAGAAAAATTTAGCTCATTATTCAATAGATATTCAAAGTGATATCTGAGTGATGGGTATATGTAGGCTCTTCAGGGCAGGGACCCAGAGCCTAGCACAATGGGGCCCTGGCATCTACAAGGCACTACAGTGATACAAACAATACATATTAATTCAATTAATTGTGTTTGGCTCTGACTGCCGGAAAGTGTTGCTGTTACTGCTACCAGAATGATAGAATATCACTATTATTTATGTATTTGTTCAACATTGGCAGGGTGCCTGGTGCATTGTACAAGGCAAAAAATAGACACAGTCCTAAGGAAATTACAGCGTGAAAGAGAAAAAAATAACACCAAAATTTGTTGGAACCCCTAGAGGATGGTAATAGCTTAGAATACCTGTTAAAATAACCTCAGTTATGTTCTTAAAGGTTTGGAGCTTTATCAATAAGGTGTCAATTAATCACAGTTAACCAAATGTATTAACCCATGAGTGTTAGTCAAAGATCAATTATCACAATTCAGAAAGGTAAGAGTTAACTACTTTATCACTTCATCGATCAATAGCATTGACTGCTCCAGAAATACAACTGAATGCTGAAGAGTATATGTATTTTAGGGTGTTACTAGGAGCGCAAACTCCCCAAAATCAGCTTGCGTCATTCTTACTCTAATACAGGGGTCAGCAACCTTTCAGAAGTGGTGTGCCGAGTCTTCATTTATTCACTCTAATTTAAGGTTTTGCGTGTCAGTAATACATTTTAAAGTTTTTAGAAGGTCTCTTTCTATAAGTCTATAATATGTAACTAAACTATTGTTGTATGTAAAGTAAATAAGGTTTTAAAAATGTTTAAGAAGCTTCATTTAAAATTAAATTAAAATGCAGAGCCTCCCGGACCAATGGCCAGGACCCGGGCAGTGTGAGTACCACTGAAAATCAGCTAGCGTGCCGCCTTCAGCACACGTGCCATAGGTTGCCTACCCCTGCTCTAATATTTCTACTCCCATGCAACCTGCATCACTATCCGAGATCACTGGACGTTTGTACTGAGTTTTTAGCAACAATTGTATCAGTTTCTTATTATTTTCACAAACCTCATCAAAATCTGACTTTATCTCTGCGCCAGTAACAAAAGCTTACACACAGTTTTTAGTTTATTGTAGTCAGGGCCGGCTCCAGGGTTTTGGCCGCCCCAAGCAGCCAAAACCAAAAAAAAAAAAAAAAAGGCCGCGGCTGCGATCGCGATCTGCGGCGGCAATTCGGCGGGAGGTCCTTCACTCCAAGCCGGAGTGAGGGACCGTCCGCCGAATACCTGGACCTGCCACCCCTCTCCCAAGCGGCCGCCCCAAGCACCTGCTTGAGAAGCTGGTGCCTGGAGCCGGCCCTGATTGTAGTATAGGAGTTGCTGGGAAAAGTGGTTCACTTTAGCATAAATATGGATTCTCTTAAAATAAATAATTTTGGCTAATCATTTGGTAGCAGTTGGTACTGCTGATGTTGGTTAGTATGGGCCTTGCAGAAGATGAGGGATTTATGGGGAATTTAAATGAAGATGGGTGTCACACTGTGGCACAGGGAGGTTGTTCCGGCCATATGATATGTTAAGGAAGAAAGCATGAAGACAAGAGTGGAAGATGGAAACAAAGAAGCTTTAAGGCTCAAAGTGTGTGTCTACACAGCAAAGAAAAACCCTCATTAGGCCCATGCCAGCCGAGCTGGGCTCGGGCTCTGGTGCTGTTTCATTGCTGCATAGATTTCTGGGCTTGGACTGGAAGCCTACACAGCAATGAAACAGCCCCACTGCCCGAGCCCTGCAAGCCTGAGTCCACTGGCACAGGCCAGCCACAAGTTTTTCTTTGCTGTGTAGACATACCCAAAGAGAGCAAGGTGGGAGGGATTGGGATGGTAGGCAGGGCTGTGTGGAGTCTCAATAGATGAGGATATGAGTTTTAAAATATTGACTTGGTGGGCGAGAGAGATAATTTGGAGGGATCCAAAGAAGGAAAGTGATGAGAGCCAAGTGGCAGATAAACTGTTAAATGTAAACGGGGGGAAGTGGCATGACCTACAGGGAAGATCTTCCTGTAGCTAGAAAGCTCTTCTCTTTGCTTTAATTAGTTTTTGGTGTGGATATTCCAAAGCGTTAGGTCTAGTTCTATAAATATTCCTCTTTGGTTGATGCTGTGTGTATCTATAACTAAAATCTCTTGTACCACTCTTGATCTTTTTTTCTGACCTGGATTTCCTCCCTCTCCCTAATTATTGTTTAATTGTATATTTGTAAAATGAAGTGAGTAAGCATGGGGACCAAAGGACAAATGGTAGAGCAAGGTCTTTCTAAAAGCATGGTGACTGCATTAAAGCTAAATTAATGTTAACCAGTCATAATTTAAAATTAAATTATGGGATACCAAAATGAGCTTGTAAATTAGTCAAAAGCCTTTTTTTAATGTAAAATTGCTTGCTCTCATGGTTACAAAATGAACTAAACCACTGAATGAGAAAGTGAATTGCAGCCATTAATAATAACTTATTCATTTAGTACTAAATGAGTAGCTATTGTTGCAGAGAAATAATTACTTTTCTTTTCAATTTTTGTCAAAATCATTTTTGCTCATAGTGACAGTCATATTTTATGTGTAAAGCATTTAGACTAACCACTTGTGTATGCCATGTTGCTTCAGTTAATGAAAAAAAAATGTTATGAAATCCCCAAAGCAACTATATGAAGTACCATGTTTATCTGAAATCCTGGTTATCTGAATGATTCTCATGTCCATACAATGTTTTAGATTATCAAGGTTGAACTGTAGGCTGCTAAAACCTATACTACATTCTGTTGATAAAGTGCACTAAAACATTTAGGATATTAAGCATGTTTCAAAGACCGGTCTCTCTGTTTTGAGTTGCTAAGCAACTCAAACTAAGCAGATAACAGGTTAGGAATGCTTTACATAGACCAATATGACTACACTCCTTTTTATTATCACTGTTCATCCAGGACCTGATCCTAAGAAGCAGTAGCAGCTTCTGTTCTCTTTGACTTCAGTGGGAGTAGCCAGGTACTCATTCACTTTCAAAATTAAGCCCCCAGTTCCAACAGTACCTGTCTAATGAGATATCTTATCTTTCATAGTTACAACATTAAAGAGGTATTATTGCACCTTTATCAGAAAATAACACAATGCTAACGTATTGTTGTATTTACAGAACCAATAGAATATATCCTTTAAGATTCCACACTAATAGACTGAAGTTCCTATGGGTATCAAAGTTAACAATGAAAGGAGGGGAAATCAGAAAACACAATACAGAGTAAATGAATCATGAAAGATATTAAAAGCAGACTGTTTCCAGTTTAAGAAGAAATTGAGCAGTATGAATGGGGCAATTCTGTGCCTTATGGTAATAGTTCGTCATTTAGAAACATTATGGAGCTTTGATATTTTCCCCATAGACAAGAGGATTGGATTGGTTCCTGGGATTGGCAACAAGATACAGAGCCTTTCATCACCAATTTTCTGTTGCAGATCAGGCTAATGGTGACTGCATGCTGTTACCTTTGATGACTGTTCCTGATGCTTTTGTTAAAGCACAGTCCAGTTCCGAGTGAGCAGGTGTTTACGTCAAAGGTGGTGATATTTTTTGTGGAACTAATGAAGACCTTGACTGTCTGTTTCAGCAAAGTAGTGAAGGATCAAATGAATGGGTCTTCAGTTACCCAAGGTTGTCACTTGGCATAAGCATTGAAATTAGATTTTAAAAAATCATTTATAGGCATAGTTTAAATTTTTTGTATGATGTTGAATGTGTCAGCTTCAGATTTTTATTTTCATATATTGGTCCAGGTATTTCATTTACTCTTGTTTTGTCCTGTAGTATGTTCTCAGGTATCTCACCTTACAAATGCAGATCTTGCTACTCTCAAACATGCTTTTGTTACTTCAACACCCAGACTATTGCTGTGTGCTCTATATAGGGCACATATTAAGTCTGTTCAGAACTTCTACAGAAGGTAGCTGCCCAGTTATAAACTGGTCAATCCCATACGAAACCTGTGGCACCTGTGCTCTGGGATCTGCCCTGCTTACCTGTGGCCTTCCCAGATAAATTTAAAGGTGTTAGTTTTTACCTAAATTCTAAATGGCCTGGCACTAATTCACCTGAGAGGCCACCTCTCTCCTTCCATGATGCACTGCTGTAGTTGTGACTAGTAGAGTTGCCGATGTTGGATCCCACCTCGAGGTAATAGAAAAGGGGGCTGACCCTATTGGGTTCCATGGAGACTGGGAGGCGCAAGCCTGCCCACGGCTAAAGGACCCTCCTCCAGCCTATGGGGAGGATCCACTGAACCCAGGAAGTCAAAATATTATGGGGGACAACAGAAAATATAACCGGAATATATGTGAAGGTCAAAGGGTCAAAAAAAAAAGGGAACCTGAAGGGGACACCAAGCAAAGAACCCAGGACAGCGCCCACTGCTCTTCGAAGGTGTCAAGGGAGCCAGTGGACATCGCCCAGAGGAACTCTGCCCGGATATGTGAACAGAGGGGGGATTGGAAATAGGCCCCACAGTCGCAGAGAACCCCCTCAGCCAACATCCTTTCCCTGGTGTTGTACAGGGCCACTTTGGCCATCACTAGGGGGAGGTTGACTAAGAGGTCCTGCGACTTTATGAGGCCACGGATAGGGTGTGCGTATATGGGAAGGTGGGGGGAGAAGTGCAGCCAAAAACGCAGCAGTCGGTCAAGGAAAAGGGGCTGCAACCTGGCACACTCAAGGTAAACATGCGCCAGGGTCTCTGGCTGGGGGCTGATGGCGGGCAGTCACTATATTCACATCCTAGAATAGTAAAGGAACTGGCACATGACATTGCAAGCCCAATAGCAAGGATTTTTAATGCATCTATAAACTCAGGGGTCATACCCTATGACTGGAGAATTGCTAATATAGTTCCAAGTTTTAAGAAAGGTTAAAAATTGTAAGCGAGGTCTTGGACAAAATGTTAAAGAGAAATTAGTTAAGGACATAGGGCGAATGGTAATTGGTATAAAATACAACATCGTTTTACAAAAGATAGATCATGCCAGACCAACCAGATCTCCTTATTTGAGAAGATAACTGATTTTTTTTTTGGACAAAGGAAACACAGTACATCTAATCTACCTTGATTTCGGTAAGGCATTTGATACAGTTCCACATGGGAAATTATTAATTAAATTGGAGAAGATGGGGATTAATATGAGAATTGAAAGGTGGATAAGGAACTGGTTAAAGGGGAAACTACAATGGGTCATATTGAAAGGTGAACTGTCAGGCTGGAGGGAAGTTACTAGTGGAGTTCCTCAGGGATCGGTCCTGGGACCAAGCTTATTTAACATTTTTATTACCAATCTTGGCAAAAAA